CAGTAAATTTAACAATTTGTCTCTTTTAAAATTCCCCTGCTGTCTTTCAATATAGTCTTCTCTAATAACTACTTGCGGTGTTTGCATTTTTTGATAGTCTGTTAAAACTGCACTCATTKTATCGTTGTTCACCAAACAAAAGTTATGTAAAAAGCAACAAGTTAGGATGACTTTTGGAGCATTTTCAATCTTTGTTTTATTCAAATATAATAATCTTCTCCAGCTCCAATCTTTCTCCTTTTAATAAGCCAAATGCACATTCAATGGCAACTCTAGTTTTTGCATGGAGGTAGTTGAATTTGGTTTTTCGGTGTGTTATATTTCCATAATTTTTAAATGGAGTGATTAACCATTCTCGGTTAGGATATGCTGTGTCTCCTAACAGATGATATTTATTGTAAAATAGAGAACTTGGCCCATTTTCGGTTACTTGTTTATATAATTCTGAATTAACCAATACTCTTGCATCATGAATGCGGCCAGGAAATCCTACTGAAATATTGGTGAATATTTTTCCCTCTGTGCATACTGCTTGTACAATCATACTTTTACCAAGTTTACRATTAGTATAACTATCAGCTTGTTTCAATGGAGCTTTAACATTTATATGTGTACCATCGATAGCCCCAATGACACCTATTCCAGAAAAAAACAGAAAAATTAATAAACTTGTTATTAATTTAATAATTATTAAACTGTTAATAGGTTCAAAATTGTTTTATTATTGTACCTGAAATACCTCCTTTTAACTTAAATCTTTCTTCAATCACCAGACATTCTTGTCTACTTGGCCAATGGATAAATGCTTCAAAATTTAAAATAATAACATTCATGAAATCATTTAAAATATTGTAAACCGAAGATTTCACTACATCAAAGTGGTCACTTATTGCCTGCATTGACCCTTCCTTTCCAAAGTACCACAGAGCAATAAGCATTTTTTTTTTTAATTGAAATAGGTGTACCCACAACATTTTCTTGGCAAAATTCTGGTGAAACTTGTTGTAGGAAATTAAGTAAATTATAAAAAGTGTCTTGGGTCATCCTATAGTTAACATGGAAATCATGAGCACTATACTTAATGATCCAGTCTTCAATATCAGCTTTTGGACGAAAATGCTCATTCCGAATTACTGTACTTAATAAAGTTAWTTTTTTWAAATTACATTTAGGTTTCGTTATTACTATATTGCTAGTAACAATATCATCAGACTCTACAATGTCGTTCATCATCATTAAAATCAGGGACAACTTCTTCCGTGAA